CCAGGTCGGCTGGCTGCCGCTTGCGCCCACCTCCGCGTCCGCCACCAGCGCCGCTGCCGCCCGCCATCCGCGCGCCCCACGGGCCGATGCGAGCCCACAAGGAGCTGGCACGAACTGTGTGTCTGTCCCCGGACTAGGGGTCTCCGTGCTTGCCTTGGGGCTAGAAGCCCCCAGTGCAGACATCTTGAGCCAAAATGGCTACGGAAGGGGCCGCAGGGAGGAGGAAGGAGAGGACGCCACGTGCGAACCCTCCCCCCCCCACCCCAGGACTTCTGAGGGGGGAGGTGGGGCTCACTTCGCCCCCCAGTCCTTAGAAATCGTGGGGTGGTGGGGTAGGGCTCGCATGCGGCCTCCTAAAAGAAACCAAGGCCCAGTGAGCACCAACTGCTGAGGAAAATCCGCCTGACTCACACGTGTATCGAACCGTTCGTCCCAATCCTGGCCGACCGGAGCAGGATGCCAATGCCGCCACGTCCAGTAGATGCATCGGTGATACATCGGCGATGCATCGGCGATGCACTAACGATGTATCGTCGACGTCAGCGGTTCATCGGCGCCGTCCGCGTGAAGAACATCGGGCTCCGTATCGAGCCGCATCGCCGATGCATTGGCGAGGCGGCGCGATCCTCCGACCCCATCTGCTCCGACCCCATCTACTGCAGGTCCGTGCCGTGTCGACCCTGGCGTTGGTTCCTGACACCGCGCTGGATCGTTCAACCTTGAACGATCGGCCGTCTCCGCAACGTCCGATCGTTCAACATCGACCGATTCTGGGCCGCCGTCGGCGTTCAACGTTGAACGTCGGCGGCGGGGTCGCCGCCGGTCCACACGACGCGAACCTACCGTAGGATCGGGCGTTGGCAGAACTGGGTCTAGTGGAACCTGGTTTCGTGATTTGTGCCGGGGGCGCCCCCCCGTCCCATTTCCACTAACCGGACCTGCCGTCACCCGAAAAACGCCAGCTACGGCAAACCTGGTTTAGTGAATCTGGCCAATTGAGGGGCCCCAGGGCCCTACCACTAACCGGGTCCCCTTACCCGGGGTCCTGGCCATCCTGACTCGCTTGAGGGGCGAGTCAGGATGGCCAGGGCCCCAGGTAAGGCCAATTGAGGAGGCCTAGAATCGCTGACCCCGTCCTGGTGGGCGGCAGGGAGCCCCCTGCAGCAGGCGGTGCGCACGGCCCGCGAGGGGCGGCGGCTTCCCACGAGCCGGTGGGGCGGCCGGCTCGCTTCGCCGGCCTCGGCTTCCTGGGCCACCGGGGGCGGCCCGCAGGTTTTCGTCGGGCGCGGGCTGGCGTGCACGGTTGCCCCCAGGGCCGTAGGCGACTCGAGGAGGAGGAGGAGGAGGAGGACGACGACGAGGAGAACGAGGAGGAGGAGGAGGAGGAGGAGGAGGAGGAAGAGGGGAGGAGGAGAACGAGGAAGAGGAGGAGGAGGAGGAGGAGGGGGAGGAGGGGGAGGAGATGAAGGAGCAGGTGGAGGAGGTGGAGGAGGAGGAGGATGACGGGTCGCCTAAGCCCTTCGGAGAAACCCTCCAGGCTGGCGGCAACCCGCCCGGGTCTGGCTTGCCAGACCATCCCAACCCAACCCGAATACCCTAATTTTGCCCGAATTTCAGGTTGGGGGGGGTACAGGCTTCACATGTGTGGTTTTGCAGTGTTCCCTGACCCCCCCCCCACACTGGAAGTGGAGGGCAAACCGAATCGGGACCTTCGGGTTGGGTTGGGGAGTTTTGGTGGGCGGTGATATCTTGAAGGGGAGCTCCCTGCTGAAACATCGAAGGGCCCGGGGGGACGCACAACCAAACCGACGCACGGATCCCAGGATCCCCAGCATGCTCCACATTTGTTCAGGATGTTCCCCTCCAACCCCACTACTTTCCACATTTTTTCGGGGATCGACGATTCGTTGTGACTGCGTTTCCCCCCCCCAATATTTCCGGATACTTTTGTGTATATGTGTTGTTCGCTCCTGTTGCTTGTTGCTGCCCATATTGGTGTGTCCATCTTGTTGTGCCTGTGTGTATATGTTCCTTGGAATCGACGATTCGTTGTGCCTGTGTGTGTTCCCACTTCTGACAAAATCAACTCTCGCTGTGTCTATGCTTTCCACATCCTGCAATTTCCTGGGAATCGACGATTCATTGCGTCTGTGCGTTTCCCCGTCCCGGAGAAAAACAACAACTCCTCTGCTGCCTGCCCCCCCTTTCCAGCCGGCGGGTGGCGCAGAGGCGCCACCCCTCCGCCACCACAGGGGCACAGGGGCGACAGAGAGGGTTTCACCCGACCAGGGCTCGAGCCAAACACAAGGGGGGCCCAGTTTCAGACAAATTCGCCGGCCCAACGGGCCAGAGGCGTGCTAAGATCTCAGGTGACTGCTTTACAATCTTTTTACTTCGCGCGCGCGGGGCGGCCCCTGGGGGCCCCCGGGCGGAAAGTACCCCGGCAAGGTCCCGAGAGAGTCCCGGGAGGAGTCACCAGGGCGCTCCAGCAGCGCACCAACGCGGCTCCGAGACGTCCCCGAGAGCCCCAAGAAGGGCCAAGAGGCTTCCAAGAGGCCCCCAAGATGCTACATGAGGGGTCCGAGATGCCACAAGATCGCTCCAAGACGCCCACGATGGCCCCCAGACGCCCCAAGAGGCCTCCAAGAGCACTCCCGAGAGGGCCCCAAGAGGCAAAATTCACTGCTTTTCCTTAGGTTTTGGAGAGATTTTGGCGTTTCCACCTTTTCGGCTTCACGACACCCCAAGACGGCCCAAGAGGCCCCCAAGACCGCCCCAAGAGGGCCCAAGAGGCCCCCAAGAGGGCCCCAAGACGGCCCAAGAGGGCTCCAAGACGGCCCAAGAGGCCTCCAAGACGGCCCAAGAGGGCCCCAAGAACGCCCCAAGAGGGACCCCAGGGGGGGAACACGAAACAATATTTCGAGCCCTCGGCCCTCAGAAGTCCCCAGGAGGCCCCAAGAGGCCCCTAAGAGGCCCCTAAGAGGCCCCAAGAGGCCCCCAACAGGCCCTCAGGAGGCTCCCAAGAGGCCCCCAAGCGGCCTCAGGAGGCCACCCAAATGCCCCCCCGAGCACGCAAGCAAGTGCCAGCGACGCTACACTATGGGCCGGCGGAATGAGCGAAGCGATTCAATAAATACACAATCTGCGTTTCCGTCTTCTCCCCCACTTTCCATCTTTTCACACATTTTCCTGGGAGTCGACGCTTCACTGTGTCTGCTTTTTCCCCTCCTGAAAGCACTGCTCTTCGCTCCCGTTCGTTTTCCTTCGTCCTGTCTTCGTTCGGCCCCCTTCTGCAGCAGGGGGCCAAGACGAGAACGGGCTGCGCGATAGCGACGACGCCGCTCCGCGGGAGCCCCGCCCCCGACCCCCCGGAAGCACAGGCCGCGGGCGCGGAGAGGACGGGCACCGACGGGCGCCCCAGGAGAGCGCGGCACGAACCGAGTGGCCATGGAGGCGGAGGTGGCCGACCGCCACCACCAGAGGGGCGAGGGACGCCTCGGCAGGAGGAGGAGGAGGAGGAGGAGGAGGAGGAGGAGGAGGCCACCCATGCCACCGCAAGGGGGAGGGCTCCCCCCCCGACTCCCCTGAAGCACAAACCGCAGGCGCGCGAGGAGGAAGGGGGCCGACGAGGGCCCCAGAGCGCGGCACGAGGCGAGCGGCCAAGAAGAAGACGAAGCCACGACGAGAATAACATCCGGTGAGGATGAGCCGGGAAGCGCTGAGATCCGGCGGTTCTGGAGCATGTCTCGGGCGCCGCGGCCTTCTCAGAGCGTTCATGGGACGGTCTGAGAGCGTTCTGGGACGCTCTGGAACGGATTTGTCCTCGTCCTAGCCCCGTCCGATTACAGTGCCGTTTTTAATACATGCTCCGCGCGCGGATGAACATGTAGGGATTAAATATTAAAAACAACGATGAGTTCATGCATACATGAATTCATAAATCAATCATGTATGAAAAAATCCTATATCTTAAGAAATCCCATGTATTAAAACCTGCCCTGTATAGGCGGAATGGTCCGATCGACACCACCAGAGGGGCGAGAGACGCCTCGAGGGGGCGTGCTTGCAGGCCGGCTGCAGGAAGGCAGGCAGAGCACACTGGCACAGCAGAAGCAGCATCCCAGGTCGCAACACACACACACACAGCTGTGGAGGCAAGCTGTAGCCACAGGAAGTGAAAGACATGGGATAACCAGGAGCGAAAAGAGGGGGATAAATGGGTGCCCAGAATGGAGATCGAAGAGAGGAAAGACCATTAAAGGTTCGCTACCGCAGTAGGAGGAGGTAGAGAGGGGAGAAAAGAGAGAAGAGGCGAGGAGGATTCGACGCTCGTAATGGGATGCGAAAAAACATATGACAAGGACATCAAATTCCATTGTCGCGCACCAGTCGGAGGGAGATCTTCTGCCAGCTCCGGCGAGGTTACATCCTTTTTCGGGGGCGATGGAAGAGGAGAGGGAAGGAGAAAAGAGGAGAGGGGGAGGAAGTAGTAGGAGGGGGGAGGGAGAAGAGGATGGAGGCTGAGGAGGGAGGGGGGGTCCAGAGGTCTGCGGAGGTCTCGGGAGGCCTGGGCAGGCTCCAAAAAGGCACCAAACCCGTGCAACGCATCAAACGAAAGTACGGGGACCGGAGGGAGGTGAGGGGGAGGAACGACCTGTTCGGAGAGGGAGGTCCTGCGCCATGTGCCCCCGCCCCCCAACCAGTCGCGTCAGGCACACCGTGGGAGAAGGAAAGGGAGAGGGAGTAAAGAAAACAGGAAGGGAAAAGGACGAGTGGAAGAGGGGAGGAGGAGGAGGAGGAGGAGGAGGAGGATGAGGAGGAGAACGACGAGGAGGGAGGAGGAGGAGGAGGAGGAGGAGGAGGAGGAGGAGTAGGAGGAGGAGGAGTAGGAGGAGGAGGAGGAGGAGGAGGGGGGAGGAGGAGGAGGGACGAGGAGGGAGGGACGGAACCCGCCTCTGCTTGCACGCGCGCGCCCCTCGTGCTGCCCCGCCCGCCGGGGCCTTGGAGAGCACCGCCGTGGCCTCCTCCGGCGCGCGGGGTGGCGCGGCCCCCCTCCGTGGCGGCTCTGACTACCTGCCAGACCCCCCCAACCAAGCCTGAAGGCCCGAATTTCGGGTTGGGGGGGGCATGGGCTCCATATGTGTTTTTTCGGTGTTCCCCGCCCCCCCCCCCCCCCTGGAAATGGAGGGCAAATTGAGGCCTTCTGGTTGGGACGGGGTGGTTTGGTGGGTGGTGAGGCTCGTGGTCGTCGCCGAGGGTCCTCGGCTGTCGCCCAGTGCGCTCGACCGTTTTCCACGGCCCGCAGCGGTCCCAGAGCCTCTCGCGCTGTCACAAAGATCACGCCGGGAGGCTGTTCGAGATGTTCGGCCTCTGGGGGCCCTCGCGGGGCCTCGGGGACGTCACACAACGACTCAGGACGAGAAAACGGTCCCAGGAATGGGGCGAGACCTCTGGGGTTCGACGTTGCGAAAAAAAAAACGCGTCGTCAGGGGTCTGGGGTTTTCGAAGGTCCGCTCGCTCGTCGCCCTCCTCATCCGCCTCCTTCTGCTCCTCCTTCTGACGAGAGTGGGGGGGAGGCGTTCGAGATGATGCTTCTCCCACTCCAACAGGTTGGAGTTGTTGCGCTGACCGAAAAGCGTTCCCGACCCTCCTCGCACACCCTGCATACAGTCATCGTAATACCTTTAGAACGCCAAATGGCATGATGAACGGCGCAGCTTGTCTGGCCACGGCGAGCCTCAACCACGATTAGGCTCTCCGACCCAGATCTACGGCACGGCACGAAAACCAGAGGCCCTCCCGCCATCAGGTCCACGGGGGCCCAGAGCTCATTGGGCATCCCGCCTTGCGTTCTCTGACGAGCCTGCTTTCCACAACCACCACCAACATAAGTTGGAGGGGGGAAGGAGGAGGAGGACGAGGAGGAGGAGAGGAAGACGACGACGAAGAGGAGGAGGAGGAGGAGAAAGGAGGAGGAGGAGGAGGAGGAGAGGGAGGAGGAAGACCCTGTCCCCCTCCAACTTCTGGTGGTGGTGGTGGGAAACAGGCCCATCATTCTCGGGTGGGGATCGCTCGAAGCAGATCAAGCCGCGTGCGCGCCCGCTCTCGACCCCGGTGCCCTGGGCTCTGGCCGGGCTCTGCGCCCCCCCTCCGCCTCGCTCTGCGGCGCGGGCGGCGCGCCACCGCGGCGGGGCCCAGGGACGCGGCCTGGCCGAGGCCGGCGTGCGTGCGCCTTAGCTCCCGCCGCCGCCCCCATCCCTCCTCCCCCGCCTGCAGGTCTCGAACCGGGGAGCGACTTCAGACCATTGATCTACCCCAGAATCGACGCTCCCGTCGGGTCGGCGACCGATGCATCGGATCAGCGATGCATCGGCGCTGCCTCGGCGATGCAGCAGCGATGCGTCGCCGACGTGGCCGGTGCATCGGCGACGTCGACGTGAAGCAAGTCGAGCTCCACACCGAGCCGCATCGCCGATACATCGTAGATGCGGCGCGGTCCTCCGAGCCCAGCTGCTCTCCGAGCCCATCTGGGAGGCCTGGAGAGACGCATGCTCCGCTCCTCCGGCATCACTTCCGCAGTCGATCCCCCGATGACTCGAAGGCTGCGGGGCGGGCTGGCGCTCCTTGAGAGCAGCCAGGCACTCCATCGAGTCCTTCTCCTCGGACTCGAAGTCCGCGCGCTCCTGGGGCCCCCGTTGAGCGCGTCGGGGAGGCGGCGGCCCGGGCAGCAGGAGGTCCAGGGCAGCGGCAGGAGGGCCCAGCACACAGCAGCGAAGAGCTAACTCGGGGACGCACTGCGAAGACGGAGCCAGGACGAGGATAAGCTCTGGGGAGGAGAAGTCGAGAAGAATCTCTGAGGTCTGGCAGCTTTGGAGGACGTCTCGGGCGAAGGCGGCCCTCTCGGAGCGTTCCAGAACGCGTTCCGGAACGCTTTGGAACGGATTACCCTCGTTCTAGCTCCCAGCCCCGTCCGCACTGACCCAGGCCAATGCAAACCTGGGTCAGTCAGGCTTTTCGAGATCCTGCAAATTCCTGCATGATCTTGCAAGATCCTGCGCGCTGGTTCGTGTAAGGGCAGCCCTGGCTCTGCAGGATCCTGCAAGATCCGGCGCCCTTGCTGACCCCCGCTTGCATCAGGTCGGGAATGTCCCCCTACAGGCGGATATAGTGCGAAAACAAACAAACAAACAATGATCCAAAAATAATCAAACATACAAAATCGTTCCCATACTCTTTTTCGACTAATGTTTGAATACTCCTCCTAAAGAGGGACAGGCCCGACTTAACCCTGGCTCTGCAGGATCCTTCAAGATTCGGCGCCCTGGCTGACCCCCGCTTGCATTGACCCACGTCCTCTGAGCCCCGCTTGCCTTAGGTCGGGCATGTCCCCCTACAGGCGGTTTTTGTGGACGAGAGAAACATGTTCAAAAAATACCTCAATCTGGTGAAAGAAAAAAACAAAAAGTCACGACTACAAAAAACGTCCCCTGACTTCTCTGAGACTATTTTTTGATAGTCCTCCTACAGAGGGACAGGCCCGACTTGAGCCCCGAGAGCCGCGGAGGCATCACCGTCCGAGGGCTTTGCGCGGACTCCGCGGGTCGGCACTGGACACCCCTCCCCCTTGGCGCGCGGAACGCGCCGCTGGGCGGCGTGTCCGAGGCGACGCCGGGGGGGAGGGGGCGAGAGCGGACCCGAGAACGTCACGGCTACCTCCCAGAGCTTACCTGTTCTCTTCCCAACCTCGTGAGGAAGCAAAAGGGGGAGGCCTCCTAGATGGGGCCCGGGTAGGTGGGGTCGAAGGATCGCACCGCATCGCCAATGCATCGCCGATGCCGCGCCGATGCATCGGCGATGCATCGGCAACGTCGGAGACGCATCGGCGACGTCGGCGTGGAGAAAATCGGGCACCGCATGGAACCGCATCGTCGATGCATCGGCGATGCAGCGCGATCCTCCGTCCCCATCTACTCCGACAACATCTAGGAGGCCTAGAAAAGGAACACGTGGAAACGGGCCAGGGCCCAGAAACGAGACGTGGCGTCTCTCTCTAGGAGAGGGCGTGGAAAAAGGCGGAGACGCGGCGGAACCGCGCGAGCGCGCGAACTGCCGCTGCAGCGCGAGGAGCTGCAGCAGCTGAAGGGGTTGCTCCGTGAGCCGGCGGAGGCTCCGAGGACACACTCCGTGCCGGGGGACACCCATCAGGCGCCCCAGCCGGCCAGGGAAGCGTGCCGGCAAGCACCGTTGGGCGCTCCGGCAACCGCGGGGGAAAGATCTGGCAGGTAGCTTCGAGCGCGCCAACCATCCTGGGAAGCGTCACTGCTGGCAGGTACCTTCGGGCGCCCAAGCAAGCCTGGACAGTGTCCCGGCAAGCGCGTGTCCTACGGCTTCACGGAGAGCCACAACTTGGCACGCCCAGAGTGGATATGAAAAACATGGGCACGCTGCCCCAAAACAAATGTCCAACAAATGTTCAAAACTGACCGCACCGAAAAGCCACCGCGGGGGAACCAGCACGAATGCCTCAGGCCTGGCCCCGTCCTCCACGGTGAACGCGCGAGTCGCCACCGCGGAAGCTGGAGAGAAGCCAGCAGGACCCGTGTGCGCCCAGGGAGGTCGCGCTTCAGCTCGCCGACCCGTTTGTCCTCGGACTCCTCTTCCACGGGATCCCTCGGTGCCAACTCCGACCGTGGATCACACGTGCCTCACAGACCGGCCGTGCCGAGCAGCCTCGTCTGACAGGCCCGCTGGCCGTGCGCGGAAGAGCTGCCTGACGCATCGGGCGTGCCCAACAGAACTGTCTGGCAGGCACCGGCCGTGCCAGCCAGGACTGTGTAAGAGGACCCGATACTCGAGCAGGGACCGGCTGTCCCGGCATTCCTATAGGTTTACCACGACATGTTCTTAGAACCCGGAAGTGTTCAATGTTAGCATAAACCCGATGTGATAAAACAAGACAGACTCAGCCAGAAATATTATAAGAACATGTCCTGGAAGCCGCAAAAGGCTCTGAGAACATTGTTTGGTAGGCCTATAGGCAAGCCAGGACGCTTCGCCACTACTTGATACACTGGGTTGGCCAAACGGCGAGGGGGAGGGGAGAGGAGGCGAAACGCAGAGCGAAACGTGGAACAAGACATGCACCACAGCCCCTGCAGCTGCGGACACGGGCTTCGGGGGCGCGGCGGGGCCGCTGGCAGCCTGCGAGGCCTTGCGAGAGGAGGCCCGCCGCGGGTGCAGCTGTGATGCCTTCTGCAGCGAGGCGTGCCGCACGCAGGCGGGCGCCATGCGCCTGCCTCAGGGCAGTGCGAGTGGGTCGCGGGCAGGTCGCGGGCAGGTCGCGGGCGGGTCGTGGACGGGCTCGCGGCTGGGTCGCGGGTTCGTCGTGCATGGTCCGCGGGCGGGCCACCGGCGCTCCGCGGAGGGGCCGAGGGCGGATCACGGGCGACGGCGACGACGACGACAGGATCGAGGCGTACACGACCGGTCGGTCCACCCTGAGCTCTCTCGCTCGCCTGGTCCCGAGGGCCGTCTGCAACGGGAAGCCCCGGCTCACCCTGGCCTATCCAGAAAGATGGGTTTCGAACCCCACCCTCCCTGTCAAGGGGAGGCCCCAGCTTCCCACAGAGAGCGGGGGGACCCCCCCCCACCCTTTGGAAGGTAGGGGGGTATCTTGAAGCTTGGGCCACCGTTTTGATCTCCTCGGACACCGTGGCGCGCCCGTTCCACGGTGTGGTTTGGAATCCTCGGGAACCTAGGCAATTCCGAGGAATCCAAAGGAACACCTAGGAGTCTCACGGAACCACAGTACATCCTTCAAGAAGGTCAAGTGATGTCAGGAAGCCCTTCAGGAATCCTTCATCATCCCGCAAGAATCACTCAAGAAACCTTCAGGAATAATTCTGGACCCCTCAGAACCTCTCAGGAATCCCGAAGAGTCTCTCCAGAATCCTTCAGGAATCTTTCGAAATCCGCAGGAGTCCTTTAGGAATCTTCAGGAATTCCTCAAGATTCCGGAGGGGTCCTCAGGGATCCCCCAGGAATCCCTCAAGAAAGTTCTAGGGTTCCTCAATAATTCCTGGGGGCCGTCAGGAATCCAACAAGGACCTTGAATAATCCCGGGACAAACCGTGGTGGATACTGTAGGAATCCTTCAAGAATCCCTCGACAACGTTCACGTGCCATATGGAATTCGTGAAGAACCCTTCAAGAATACTCCACTCCAGAATCCCAAACCAATCCTTCAGGAGTCCTGCAGGAATCCCTCAGATATCTGTCAAGAAACAAACAGGGATCCTCCAGGGATCCTCGGACATCTTTCAAGACTCCCTAGAAATTCCTGTCGGACCCCTCCAGAATCGCAAAATAATATTTCAGGCATCCCCAGGAATCCCCCCGCACCATCTGAAGAATCCTTCAGGAATCGCGCAACCTTCTCAGGACTTGAAGAATCCTTCAGGAATCGCGCAATCCTCCAAGCATCCTTTGAAGAATCCTGCAAGACTTCTGTTGAAGAATCCTTCTGGAGTCCCTCAAGAGATCCTTCAAGAATCTTCCCGGATCCTGCGATCATCATTCAGGAATCCTTCGGGAATATGTAAAGAATCCCTGACGATTCTCTTAAGAATCCTCAGGAATCCCTGACCATCTCTTACCAATGGCCTACAGAATGTCTAGCCAGAGCCTGCCCAAGTTTCCCCCAGCAACACCCACTGCACCCTCCTCATGCACCCCGGCGGATTGCAATATGGGAAAAACGTATGCGCGCCGCAGCGACTACTCGCTACTGCTCAGAATCCTAGAGTTCTACGATTCGAACCCGTCGGCCTACTAGAATTCCAATCAAGAGACAGGAGTCAGATTCCTACAGGACCTCGATCAGGAGGCATCATGATATTCCCAACAGGAGCCACACAATAGCTCGCACTTGTACTCCAGGACTCCGACCAGGACTCATACTACGACTACTCCTAAGAGATTCGAGTTGGACTCGCAACTCCTTCTCCCAGAAAGACTTCTTATACGGCCCGTACTACGACTTCCACACGGGCTATTTGAGTCCCACCAGAGACCTGCCGAAGACCAGAGTCTGCGCAGAGTCCGCGCAAAGCTGCGCACCAAGGCCCATCATTGAAGGCCCCCGCTGCCTGCGCAGAGCTTACCCAGAGCCCACCCAAGACCTTCCCAAGGGCTCCCCAGGACCTACCCAATAATTACCCAAGGCCTAGCCAAGCCTTGATCACGGCCTACCCAAAACCCACCCAGAGACTACCTCAGACCCAGGCCAACGAATGCGCACCCAAGGCCTACCCAAGGCCTACACAAGGCCTACCCACGGCCTGCCCAAGGCCCGCCCACAGATCATCCAAGGCGACCTACGCACCCAATTTGCCTGGCATGGCCCCAGGCTTGGCCCGCCTTGGCCTCCGTTGGCGGCGTGTTGGCACAGTGCGCCCTCAGACTGCTTGGCCCTGCCCCTGGCCTGGCCTGGCTCGGGATCGGTTCCTCCCGGGAAGTCCTCGCAGTTCAATGGCTTGAGGCCTGGTCTGGCTCGGTACGGGGGCGGCTCACACTTGAATAGGGGATCAACTACAGAATTGATTTACCCCAAAATTGATGTTCCCGCTGAGTCTACGGAACGTGCGTAGAATGCCCCGTAAATCTACGAACGTTCAACGCGGTTCTTGCATGTTCGGCGGGAACATCAATTTTGGAGTACATCAATTCTGTAGTTGATCCCCTGTTCGAATACTTGGCCCCTGAATTTTACTGTCTTGAGGGCCAGTTTGGGCACGACTTGGCCTGGGTGAGGGCTTCCCTTGGGATGCCCACGCGGTGTTCCTGTTTGTTTGGGCCTGGGCTGGCCTGGCCTGGGTAGGACTTCGTCCGGAGCGCCCTTGCAACATACAGTCGGACCTAGACCAGAAGAACATCCTTCAAGAGCATGAGACCCTCCACCGACAAGAGAACCCAAACCTCCACGATGCAAGAGAACATCCAACAATGAAGACCAGGAGTGTACCCTTCCCGAACCAACCTCGACCTTACACCTCGGTCCGATTGTAATATGCGCTCGCGCTGAGTCTTGAACATCGTTACTCTTTGGTCCGCTTCCGCAACGATGCGGGCCAGCTCTGGCTCTGGAGGTCCCTTGAGGCAGAAGGGGGGGAGTGGGAAATGGAGTGGGGAAGGGGACACGGAGGTGGCGGTGGATGAGGAGCGCGTCACAGTATGCACCCCTCACCGGAAATCTGGACGACATTCACACCCTCGAAGACATCATGTTGCATCAATCTTCATCGCAGAACGCAAGCTTCACACACTTGGTAGCTGTATGTAGCCTCTCGGGGCATATCCGAAGCCATCGCACGTTCCACATTCTGCATCGCAGTGGATCCCTCAGGCACTGGGTGGATGCCAGCTACCGAGACTACAGACACTGCTTTCCACAGTCTGACAGGAACACGAGAGGCAAGGAGAAGCAGCAACAACTAACTATACCAAACGCACATAGACTGTTTGTGCACACCTCCCTCTGAAAGATGAGCAGCTGGAGAGCAACACCATATTACCAAGAATACGCAATACAATAATCGGCCATAACAACGTGAACTACATTTTGCATGTTCGTTTTCGCTTCCGTGTCGGCACAATTTCAATTTGGATGGCTCCTTTGGTGTACCTCTGGAGTCTCGATCGGCCCCAAGTCGTCTCCGCAACGAGAGCATCAGACATGAAGACGAACTGCAGACGACAACTGCAGACGAGGCTGCCTCGAAACACCGATTTGGTCGATCCATGGCGCAGGGCGTACAGCCAACCCGCATAAGGAGGGCGTACGTGGCCTGGAAGGCCATGTCGACACCTTTCGAGCGGGGCGCGGCCAGCGAAAGTGGCCGAGCGTGGGCCGAAGAAGGAGGATGCAAGGGTAAAGTTGGAGACTCGCTCATCCTTACTGTGTGGGTCGACTGTATCAGACAGGGTGCCCCTCCCGAGCAAGCGGTGAATCGCACGACCCAACCCCGCGGCCGGCCTCCTCGCGCATGGCCGCGGCCTTGTCGAGGGCATCCCTGTCCTCCTGGATCTCCTCCTTGAGACCCTGCCCGAGGCTTCGGCTGTGTTCTTCCTCTCGCTCTCTCTCTCTCTCTCTCTTGAGCTATCGCGGGCTATGGCTTCCTTACAGTCTCCTCTCTCTCTCTCTCTCTCTCTCTCCCTGGTGCACTCTCTCGCTCCCTCTCTGGCTGTTTCCCTCTATTCCTCCCTCTCCCCCTCCGTCTCCGTCTCCTTATCTCTCTCCTTCTCTTTCTCTCTCTCTCTCTCTCTCAGCCCGCTATTCCTGTATTCCTCACCATCGCCTTCAACTCGCTGACGCACTCGCGCTCTCGCGCGCTGCGTCAAGCGCTACCTGGGGTCACTTTCAACACATGTCTCTCGCCTTCGTTTGCCTCTGGCTGCCACGTCCTTTCTCCTGCTGATGCTCCTCCATCCTCTATATGCCTCCTGTCTCATTCCCCCTCACTTTTCCCTCGTTCTCCTCATTCCCCACATCCTTCCTTCTCGGGAGGCAGGCATGAGGAGGAGGAGGAGGAGACGGGAGAGGGGGGGGGAAAGGACAACCTAGGTGCGCTCGCGCCGTATGTGACATCCTACCCCTCTGACCCATCTCGACCACTGCGCTGAATTGCGTCTCTGTCCGCCGACGGGTGTCCGACGGACCTTGAACCCCGAGCGGGACTCCCACCATGTTATGAGCACCGAGGGAAAGGGGGAACTGTGCACTCTGGGGGAGGAGGTGGCAGATGAGCAGGAGGACGAGCAGGAGTAACTTTAGGAAGATGTGGAAGGAGGAGGAGGAACAGAGGGAGGATGAGGAGGAAGGATAATAAGGAGGATGAGGAAGGAGGCGGAGGAAGAGAGGAGGATTAGAAAGATGAGGAAGATGAGGAAGATGAGGAAGGAGGAGGGGAAAGGAGGAAGAAGGAAGGAGGATGAGGAACAGGGGGAAGGAGGACGACGAGACAAAAACAGCAGCAGGAGCCGGCGCGGGAGGAGCAGGGAGGGGCAGACGGACCAGGAAAGGGCGGAGGAGGGGAGAGCAGGAGGCCGACAACGACGGGGGAGCAACTCGGATGCAGAAGCGTGGCCCGCGCCGGGGCGAACACGCCATTCCGAAGGACGGTATCAAACAAAAACTGTCCTACACTGAGTCCCGCGCGACAGTGGGGACGCCATTCAAGACAACACCGAACGCGTTCCGAATGCACCCTGATCAAATCTGTGAACAACCTGCGGCCCTCTTGAGACAGCATCGACTGAGAAGGGTGGGATACTTTCAGCACGCAGCAGGAAAGGGGAGCGGAGGGTAGTATTCATATTGCGAAATTGTATTGTGGAGGTGGAAGGGAAGGGAGGGGGGGAAGACGGTCATGACCAAGTTTAAACACATGGAGCTACAAGACGAGGCCACTGCAAGGCCGTCGTGGGCACCACCATCTTGCAATAAACATAAACAACGGGTCACTCTCCACAGTGCTCGAAGCGGATGCGGGGGCAGCTGACTCCGCAGCAACACTGGACTAGGGAGAATCGTCAAACAATGCCGTAGGTGCAGACAAGGACCTCTCCCGGGAGTCTCAGCATGACGGTTCTCTGTCACGATCACACAAGATCTCGAACAGGATGCTTGAGACAATACTAACCTAAGAATGTCTCACCCCACATAGCCCCGAACCCGTCAGCCGGTCTCTGGAGGCCAGCCTCTTCAAGCGCAGTAGGGGGCATCTGAAAGGCGACGCTGTCCTCGCCGAGGGCAGCGTCGCCTCTCGGACTTGCCCCCCCCACTCGGGCTCGGACTCCGAGGACTCCTCGGAGTCCGAGACCGAGGGAGGAGGAGTCAACTCAAACCCGAGGCGAGAGGAAAAAGGGCCGTCTAACGCATTCAATCAACGCCAGGGGTTCCGCGGCACTCCAGCTCGGAGCGCACTCACTGAACAAGGAAAGCTCAACCAGGTCGGATCGCTGAGACCCGCAAGCCGGACAAAACCAAAGCCCGCGTGGGATCGTGTCTCCCGCGGCACCGCACGGGCTACAACCATACACACACACATACACATATACATATTTTTATATATATATATATATATCTGTATGTATACACACATGTGTATCTATATCACTCGTACCTTGAGGAGTCCAGACGGACACATGTGTATCTATATATATATATATATATGAATCCGCAGCCCAGCCTCCTCGGCCTGCTCAGCGGCCACGAGCCCCGACGGATTAGCGTTGGAATCGCTTCCGTCTACTGTGGAGCGTATGATTCCAGCGACCAGTAGAGAGCAACAGCAGAACACAGCGGGGGCCCGCTGCCACGTTTGGACCCAATTTCACATTCGAGGGCTCCGCGCTGAGCTTCTTCACGCTGGGCTTCTTCACGCACGGCGGGAAGGGGGAGGAAGAGATGGGGGCAGCTCCACGATCGTCGGCGGAAGCCACGGAGCAACTTGGCACGAGGCCGCACTCCGCGAAAACAGCCGGGGCCACAGCGCCACCCTGAGCCTCGGGTCTCCCCGGTCGGCAGGCGGACAGGCGGACCCCGAGCACGACAAGCTGGAAACAAAGGCGATGGCGCCTGCAGCCGTAGACCCCCAGCGGAATGAAGCCGTAAAATTTCACTTGGCGACCTACCAAACCACCACAACCCAACTCGAAAACCCAAACTTCGGGGGGGGGGGGCGCGCGTTCCAAACGTGTTCTTTCAACGTGCCCCCGACGTCCCCCCAACTGGGAATGGAGGGCAGAGTGGGGCCTTCGGGTTGGGCTGGTGTGGTTTCAGGCGTTGGCAAAACTGGGTTTAGGGGGACCTGGTTTAGCGACATGTACTCGGAGACGCCCCCCCCCCGTCCCGTTCCACTGACCGGAAGAGGAACTGCCGTCACCCGAAAAACACAAGCTACGGCAGACCCGGTCTGGTGATTCTGGTTCCTTTCAGGGTCTCCCGGGGCCCTACTACCAACCGGGTCACCCTACCAGGGGTCCCGGCTGTACCCGATGGCTCGGTGGGTGGTGGCCAGTGGGCCCCATGATACAGAAGCGGCGTGCTGGCAAGGAGGAGGAGGAGGAGGAGGAGGAGGAGGAGGAGGAGGAGGAGGAGGAGGAGGAGGAGGAGGGGAGAGCGCAGAGGACTCCGCCCTCGCGCGCTGGCGCCGCGCGGTGCCCGTGGCCGAGCGGTGCGCCCCCGCGGCCTGGCGCGGGGCCTCTCTCGCCGGCTGCCCCCCCAGGAAGGGGGCGCCCAGAGGCGCCGTGGATTCTACGGGAGTGCCTGTATGAGATGCAGAGAGACACGGGGACCCGTGCTATAACAGAGCACGCTCGCTTTCCTTTTGCGGGGGCCAGGGCGCGCCCGTCGTCTGCGCGCCGGGTGACCCGAGGGGCCCCTGTGCGCCCCAACGGCGGCGCGCAAGGGAGGTGGGACGGAGGCGAAGGAGGAAAGGCCGACATGCATGACAAGCACAGGCGCCGAGCCTCCCCCCGCAGCCGAACAGAAGCTGCGGAGAGGGGCCTCGAGGGGCCGAAATCCCGGCACGACTTTCTTGATCCAGCGCAAGGACGAGCGCGCAAAGCTGCGGGGGAAGCACCGCCGAGATCTCGACGGTCTGGAGCAAGCGCGAGCCCGATCTGAAAGATCTTCGTCCGAGACGAACTGGTAGCGACGCGTGTGGAACCCATCCATGGCCACGGCCGAACGCATGGACCACCCGATAGGAATCGTGCTCAAAGTACATATCCTCCCACAAAAAAAAGCATCCAGGACTTTCTGAACGGGTTTGGCGGGGTGGCGGAAGCCTTGCAAGGGGGGCCCAAACCGCTTTGATTCAACTCGTAGGAGCACATGCGGATCCGAGACAACGTTGCCGTATCTGCCGCTCGGCGTCCACGTAGGGCGCCAAACAGCGGAGCCACTGGGGATCCAACGAGCGCTTCGCAGCCCTTCATGGCACCCTTCGAACAACATGCTGCCCAATCCTTACGAGACTGGTCCTGATGCTTCGAATTGCACCGGTCCGAAGACCTGCCGCATCAAGCACGGCAAGATCTAAAGAGTGCTGCGTGCCAACTTTCAGATGCACTGACTACCTACCAAACCACCCCAACCCAACCCGAACACCCGAATTTGACCGGAATTTCGGGTTGGGGGGGGCACGGGTTCCATACGTGTTTTGTCAATGTTCCCCGGCGCCCGCCCACTGGAAATGGAGGGCAAATTGAGGCCTTCGGGTTGGGTTGGGGTGGTTTGGTGGGTGGCGATGCACTGCCGCACCAACCGCGGAAGAGTCCGAGGGCAAGACGAAGCCAGATTTCTGTCGGGCGTGTCCCCCTACAGGGGGATTTTCGACGAAAAATAAAAAAATACTCCAACAATACACCAAAAAGGTCAAAAAAAAATAGAAAAATAGTCCCCAGGCTATTTTAGGGCTATTGTTTGATTATTTTGGGGATATCTTTTAATTGTCGTCGAAAATCCCCCTGTAGGGGGACAGGCCCGACTCAAAGCCAGACTCACGACGCCCCATCGTGCCAGGCACAAGAGGAGAGCGAGGGACCCGCCGCTGGACGCGGGCGGGCGCCCACGCACGCGCCGGGGTGCGGCCCCTCTATAGGATCGCAGCGGCGGCGCCGCGGTGCCCAGAATCGGGGAGGGAGGGGGGGGAGGGAGGGAGGGAGGCAGGGGGGGGGGGGGGGGGAAAGGGCACGACGCGGAGGAGGGAGGGGAGGCAGCGGCGAGGGGGAGGGGGGGAGGGAGGGGCGGGGGGGGGGAGGGGGGGGGAGGGAGGAGGCGAGCCAGGTGCGCTCGCGTCACATCTGACGTCCTACCCCTCTCTCCCATCCCTTACCGTGGCGTAGACCTCTTCTCTATTCGAACAGTCGGATGTCGTAGCAGGGCATAGCATTACATGACATAGCATGGTGTTGTAGACCAACGCGTCGCCTGACATAGCATGGCGTGGCGACGCCCCAAAGTGGGGGGGAGGGGGGCTTCCGCGGTCCAACAAATCAACGAATCGACACCGAATGTGGAAGTACTTCCGATGACTGTTTCGGGGGGCCACTTTCGAGATTTTGGGGCCTACTTAGAAGGACCGAAAACTGTGCCGTGGCATGGCGCTGGAAATAATGACGCCAGCGCTGCAGCAAGAGCACAATTTGGAACGAGAGGAAGCGCGGAAATGAGGCCAGCGCTGTAGCAGGAGAAGAATTCGGAGGACGTGTAGCCTGACATAGCATGGCGTGGCGACGCTCCAAAGTGGGGGGTGGGCTTCTGCGACCCATGAAACCATCGAATCGGCACCGAATGTGTAATCACTTCCGATGACTTTTTCGGGGAGGCACTTTCGAGATTTTTGGGTCGACTTGGAAGGACCGAAAACTGTACTGTAGCATGGCGCTGAAACTAATGACGCCAACGTTGCAGCGGGAGCACGATTTGGATCGAGCGGAAGCACGGAAATTAGGCCAACGCTGCAGCGGGAGCACGATTCGAAACGAGCGGTACTCCGAAAATGAAGCCAGCGCCTCATCGAAAACAGCATTTTGAAAGAACACACAAAAAACGAAAACCCTTCTCCCCAGAATCATGTGACTGAAACCGTGCGCGGAGGGGGGCCGACCATCTCCCGGACGTCACCAGGGCAGAGATGAGAGTAGCATTCATATTGTGCAACTGTGGAGATAGAGTGGGGAGGAGGAGGAGGAGGAGGAGGAGGAGGAGGAGGAGGAGGAGGAGGAGGAGGAGGAGGAGGAGGAGGAGGAGGCGGGAGAGGAGGAGAGGAGGAGGAAGAGGAGGAGGAGGGAGGGGGGAGGAGGGGGGAGGGAGGCGGGGTTGGAGGACGAAGACGGCGACGACAGGCAGAGCGGCGCCTCGATCTCGGAGCCGAGGCGCGCGGCCAGCGCGGTGCCGCCCTGGAGCGCCCCGGCGGGGCCCCCGCGCGGTGGGGGGGCATCCGGGCAGGTAATGAGGAGGAGGCGGAGGAGGAGGAGGAGGAGGAGAACAAAGAAGAGGAGAAAGAGGAGGAGGAGGAGGAGGAGGAGGAGGAGGAGGATGAGGAGGAGGAGGAGGGGAGGACGAGGAGGAGCAGGAGCAGGAGGAGGAGCCAACCCCAGGCATGCCACGCCCCGAAAGAACGGGACGTGGGTGATTCTAAAAGTTCTGCCTCTTGGGGGGTGCTGAGCCCAGGGACCGTCCAAACACGACGTGGGATGGGAAACAGGCCTCGAAGAAAGGGCTGGGACTTCGGGGGGCCACGTGTCAGACACAGCAGGACATCGCGTGTCTGGGACGATACATTGAGGGAAGGGGCGGAAGGCAGAGGATCTGACGATAACGATCATGCGCGTCCCTGCCCTCCCTTCTGGCACAGCTTTGCCCTCTCGTGATGCGCGCTTGCCATCGGCTGCAGAGGTCAGCGTTCGGGGCGCCTCGGCGCCCTCCTTGCGGCACCTGCACGGCGCGTGCCGTGAGGGGAGCGCGCGTGCGTTTTGCACGAGGCATATGCGGGCGTGGACTTCGATAAGGGGGAAGGGGTATTGATCTCCATGGAGGGGCCGCCGGTTATCGATGAGGAGCACGAAGAGGAGATGTGCAAACGTAGCCTTCTCGGAGCTCCGAAAACCGGAGGCGAAGAGAGTCCAGGACGGACATGAGGAGGGATTGGTGTTCGAGGCACACTCCCCACTGCGCGGCGCCTCGTTGCCTGCGGACACCTGCGGTGGTAGAGGAGGGGCAAGGAAAAGGGAGCAAGGAACTACGTGAGAAATCGCTGTAATGCTGCGGACGAAGAGTAAGAGGAAGAGCAGGATGAGCAGGAGGAGCAGGAACCGAAGATACGAACGAATAGGGGGAGGAGCCCGGAGATGAAGAGGTATACGCTACCCCCGCAATCCACATGGGGAAGGAGGGCGAAGGGGGCGGGGGACTGGGAGGCCGAGAGGCTCCCACCACCTTCTTGTCCTCCCTCTCCTCGCCCTCGTGGTCATGCTTCCTCCTCTTCCCGAGGCGCCAGAGGACTCCAGCTTCCCAAGCCCCATTGGTTCCCTGACCTCCAGAGCATGTATTCCTCCCCTGACGTGGGCTCTGGAACCCTTGACAACAAATACGTGCGCGGCAGGCATCCATACACCACAACCGCGGCTGGCCAGGGCAATCCTGGACCCTGGCATGGTGCAACAAGCCTCCTCCTCCTTCTCTTCACCATCGCAGTCGTGCATGCATGACTGCGGTTCTGCTTGTTCACTTGTTGCGCTATGAATATGAGCACCATGAGGCAGTACTGACTGCCGTGCTGCCGCCGTTGCTCTAGGCCGCTGCCGGGTCGCGGGGATGTCTGTGAATGGAGGTCGGGGCTTTCTGGCACTTCGGTTGGAGTGGGGCCCCTGTGCCGCTCGAGCGGTGCAGGCGGCTCCATTCCGACCGTCGTTGCTGGAAGGCTCCAGCCCTGTCCGCTTGAAGTGTCCAACCCGATCCTCCTGGTCAACGTCGGGGGGGCCATAGAGGGGCCTAAAAAGTGGCCCTGGCCAGGCTCGGCAGCGGTGTGCAGAGGCCGCCTGCGGAATCCATGCCTGGGGCCCTGGATCGGCGGCGAGCGCGGGAGGGAAACGCAAGGAGCGGAGGACCTCCTCAGAAAGCGGCGGGGGCTTCCAAAAACTTCTGGCCTTCCGAGGAGCTCTCGGCGTCTCCGGGGGGAGGCTTCGGACACTTCTCGGGAAACTAGGGGACACCTGGGCCTTCCAAAAAGGCCCACCCCTTCTCACCTCCCCCCCGGGCTCGCCGCCGATTGTAGGAGGCCCACAAAAGGACACACGCGCCCAGCTATGTACATGAACACGGCCCCTCGATCCGCGAGACTGGCCGCGTGATACTAACATTTGCGCAATGCATACTCTCGAAACCAGCGTGGATTCATATGCGGGTACGTCCTTCTTTCGCTCCTGAGATTGGATCCCTGGGACAAATGCTTGCTGGCCATGGTTGAGGGGCAACGATTGGGGGGATAGGGATAGGGGGGAAGCATCGACTTGGAATCGGCGATACATCGCCGATAGATCGGCGACGGGCCTCCGATGGTGCATCCGCACCTTCCTGGGCAGGTTGGGGCCATCGGGCCCCCATCGGCGATCAATGGGCGATTGGGGGCCGATGCATCCCCCCCATATGCTTCTGCTAGGGGAACAGAAAATAACATAAACATAAAAATTCGGAGGTCCGCGCGGATTTCTCGTATCGGCGCTGGACCCCCCTCCCTGGCGCGCGGAGCGCGCCAACGGCGGCGCCGGGGGCGCCGCCGGGGGGTCCCAGCGCCGATCCGAGAAATCCGCGCGGACCTCCGAGTTTTCATGTTTATGTCACTTTTTGTTCCCCTGCAGACCCTGCCGTTGCCCCTGAGTCAAGGACCGAGGCGACGCGGACCCCCGGGAGGCCCCGGCAGAGCCCAGGAAAGCCCTCGCGGCGGGATCTTCGGGGCCATCGGGCCCCGATCGGCGATCAGTGGGCGATTTGGGGTCGATGCGTCCCCCCCTATGCTTATGCCCCCCTGCCGTTGCCCCGGAGGCAAGGACCGAGGCGACGCGGACCCCCCGGAGGCCCCGGCAGAGCCCGGGCGAAAGCCCTCGCGGCGGGCTCCTCGGAGCCCCATGTGCGGTCTGGGCGGGCCCGCCGTGCGGCGCCCTGCCGGCATGCCGACGCCAGGACGAGGAACACACATCGGGTTAGGTCGGGCATGTCCTCCTATAGAGGCGGATTTTGGGTGAAAAATCGTAAATACCCCAAAAATGCACAAAAGTCAGAGGTGAGAGGGTGAGATCGAAGTGGAACGGAGAGCCCCCCTACCGGGAAATCGGATTCGGTTTCGTGTTCGTGCGTGCAATGCGTGCGGGCGAGGCGAAGCTGCGTGGGCGGGCGAGGAAGAAGTCTCCTGAAGCTGAGGCGCGGCCGGACCAAAGGTCTCCGTTCCGGCAACCGGTGCCCCGCGGTGTCCCGCCAGTGTCCCGCCAGTGTCCCGTCGGTGTCCCGATGATGATGATGATGATGATGATGATGATGATGATGATGATGATGATGATGATGATGATGATGATGATGATGTTGGTGATGGTGATGTTGACGATGACGATGGTGATGGTGATCGTGGTGATGCTGGTGGTGCCCCGATGATGATGCTGATGATAATGATGATGATGATGATGATGATGATGTTGACGATGTTGATGATTATGATGATGGTGATGGTAGTGATGATGATGGTGCCCCGATGATGATGATGATGATGATGATGATGATGATGATGTTCATGATGATTATGTTACTGAAGATGATGATGCTGGTGCCCCGATGATAGCGATATTGCTAATGATGATGTTGATAGTGATCAGATGATTTAATGATGATGAAGATGATGATGTCCCGATGATGATGAGGTTGATGATGGTGCTGTTGATGATGATGGTGATGATGATGGTGGCCAAATAATGATAATGATGATGAGTATGATGGTGTCCCAATGATAATGATGAGGATGATAATGCTGATGATGAGGACGATGATGAGGTGATGATGATGATTTTGATGATGGTGGCCTAATGATGGTGACGATGCTGATGTTGATGATGATGATGACGATGATGATGATGGTGTCCCGATGATGTTGAGGATGATGATGGTGATAATGATGATGATGGTGACGATGATGATGTTCCAATGACGATGGTGATGTTGCTAACGATGATGATGATAATGATGCTGATGATGATGGCGTCCCGATGATGATGATGATGATGATGTTGATGATGTTGATGATGTTGATGATGTTGTCCATGATCCTGATGATGCGATGATGATGATGATAATGGTGATGGTGGTGTTCCGAGGATGATGGTGTCCCGATGAAGAGAATGTTGATGATGATGATGATGATGATGATGGTGACGATGATGGTGTCCCGATAGTGATGATGGTGATGCTGATGATGCTGTTGATGATTGTGATGAGGGGATGATGATGATGATGATGATGCTGGTGTCCTGATAATGTTGCTGCTGATGTTGATGATGATGACGTTGATGACGTCGATATCGATGATGTTGATGATGATGATGATGATGACGTTGATTGTGTTATCGATTGTGATATCGATAACCTCATGCCCGTGAGAATAAACACTAGGGGATAATAAAGTTCGGGGTTCAGGGAGAGATAATAAAAGTAGCCCAGCAGACCTCAGCATAATCTCGAAGTAAGAGATGATCAAGAGGAGACCAAGCCGAGCACGTTTTGAGACATCCTTGGCGCCTCAACAATGGCTTATCTCGCTGGAGACATCCTCGACAAATCCCTTGTTTCGCTTGAGACATCCGCAAACTATTGCTTACTTCGCTTGAGACACAGTCAAACTATTGCTTATTTCGCTTGTAGGGTAGCTCGTGTAGGGTAGCTCATGTGCCTCAATTTCCATGGATAATCACCCCCAGAGATAAAAAAGTTCAGGCGAGCGTGGGGACAGAGAGAAATATAAAAGAAGAAGAATACAGTAGAATAATAATAAGAAAGAAGAAGAAGAGGAGAATAAGAAGAGGACGAAGAAAGGAAAAATCCAAAGTTCCAAATCTATCAATTTTAATGTACAAGCGCTTTATGAAAATTGATTGTTTTAAGTGCTCGTGTAGGGTAGCTCATGTGCTTCATTTTCCATGGATAATCAACCCCACGGATAAAAAAGTTCAGGCGAGCGTGAGGACAGATAGCAATATAAAAGAAGAAGAGGAAAGTAGAATAATAATAAGAAGAGAAGAAGAAGAGAAGAAGAAGAAGAGAAGAATAACGGAAAAATGGCTATATCAACATCGCTTGATGTTGCTATCTCAACATAGCGTTTCGAGGTGATAATGAAGTTCGGCCTCAGCGCTCGCCGCCCAATTTGAATTTTGTATAGGGCGACGATAACCAACTCTAAACACTGAAGGGGGGGGGGGTCCCTTTATTATCATCGGCATGCGGTTAGTGAGATCGATAGCTAGACCGAAGATGAGATCGATTGTGAGATCGATAGTGAGATCGATAGTGAGATCGACTGTGGGATCGATAGTCAGATCGATTGTGAGATCGATCGAATGACGTAGATCGAGTGAGGTCGAATGTGAGATCGATCGAGAGAGATCGATCGAGCGAGACCGATAGTGAGATCGATAGGGAGATCGATATTGAGACCGATCGAGTGAGACGTTGGTTCCCCCCCACGAACCTCCTTATCACCCGAAGGGTGGTCGTATAGGTATTCGAAAATAATAGAATAATCGTCCCCTGTATTTTTGGTTGATTTTGAATATTCATCCTGTAGATGGACAGGCCCGACTTACCCCGGGTCGGATTGGTCCTCGTCCTGGCCCCGTCGGACCTGACCCCTGCGCTCCGCGGCTCCTCGATGGCCGACTCCAGCTCCTCGATGCGCGCCTTGGCACGTTCCACCGCCTGCTGCTTCTCCTCGGCCCGGCGCCCCGGCCCGAACTCGGGACGAGAATGATGTCGTGAGGCGGCTGGGTCGGGATGCGCCCCAGGAATCGTGGAGTATACAGGGGCCCTCGTCTCTAGAGTCCGCTGGGACGGCAGAGAGCCCCGGGCAACCTCGGCACGCATCATCATCATCATCATCATCATCATCATCATCATCATCATCATCATCATCATCATCATCATCATCATCAGCAGCAGCAGCATCATCATCATCAACATCGTCGCCGTCGTCAACATCATCATCACCACAACCACCATCATCATCATCAGCAGCATCGTCATCATCATCGCCAGCGCCATCGCCATCGCCATCGCCATCATCATCATCATCCTCATCCTCATCCTCGTCATCACCATCAGCACGATCAGCATCAGCATCATCACCATCACCATCAGCATCATCATCATCCTCATCATCATCCTCATCATCATCATCGTCATCATCATCACCATCGTCATCGTCATCGTCATCATCATCATCGTCGTAATCCTCATCCTCATCGTCATCGTCATCGTCATCCTCATCCTCATCCTCATCCTCATCCTAATCGTCATCCTCGTCCTCATGCTCATCCTAATCAGCATCGTCGTCCCCATCCTCATCCTCATCCTAATCAGCATCAGCATCAGCAGCATCATTGCAATCAGCATCATCAGCATCAGCATCATCATCACCATCATCACCATCATCACAATCATCATCATCAGCACCATCATCATCAACATCATCATCATAACCTTTATCATCACCATCAACATCATCAGCATCATCATAATCATCACCATGACATCATCCCAGCATCATGTTCCCCATCACCATTACCATCATCAGCATCATCACCATCATCATCATCAGCATCATCGTCATCGGCATCGTCCTCGTCATCGGCATCGTCGTCGTCATCACCATCATCATTATCATCATCATCGTCATAGTCAGCATCATCCTCTTCCTCATCCTCATCCTGACCATCATCATCAGCATCAGCATCAGCATCATCGTCATCAGCATCATCCCCAACATCATCATCAACGACACCATCATCAGCATCAGCATCAGCATCATCATCATCATCATCATCATCATCATCATCATCAGCATCATGAGCATCATCGGCATCATTATCAGCATCATCAGCAGGAGCAGCAGCAGCAGCTGCAGCCGCAGCAGCAGCCACTACCGCCATCCTCCTCCTCCTCGTTGTCTCCGTCGTCGACATGACTTCTAGCTCCTGCGACAGATGTGCGGAGACGCACACAGGAAAAGTTCAGAATCGTCTGCGCCTGGCCCTTCGGGCCGCCAACTGTGGCCGGGCAAGCAAAGCCTCGCACGGGCCAAATGTGAACATCCAGATGCATCATTGGATCGATCCTGTCATCGATCAATCCGTCAACGCATCGACCCATTCAACACTCAATTGATTCGTTCGTCCATGATAGATCGACTCCAACCCATAAATCCAACATCGTGGCGTTCGCCTAGTCTGGGCCCCAACAAACCGGACGGACACTGTCCCCGTGGCGCATCCAATGACCGCGTGTCGTTTTGCGAGGGTCCTGGGGCCCGAACTGGCCCAGCAGACGCGAACAAAGTATTTCTCCAGCGTGACGATCCTCAGGCGCCTGCCCCAAACGACGAGTGTATTGAAGGCCCGCTGCTCTCTGCTCCGTCTTGCTCTGCCATCCTCAAAACCGCCGACTGGTTCCCCCCTTTTTGCTTGAACTGCCACCGCTCCCGCGCGCTGCGCTTCCGCCGCGTGCGACGTCCGCCCAACTCTCTGGCGACCTGCGCCACACGGCTGCCGAGAGCTAAACCAACTTCGAGGGACCGACCGTGCTGATGACTTCAGCTCGCGCTTGGCCCCGAACCCCACAGAACGGCACGGCCCCAGGAAGATGGCAAAAGAGAAGCATCTCGGTCCTGGAAACCAAGAGGTACCGCTACCACGACTCCCCGGACCTCTCCCGGGGTGCGTTCTGGCCAGGACCTCGAGGCGAGTCCAGCGGCGGCGACGAGGACCTCCCAGGAGGCCCAAGAGGGGCAGAACGAGGAAACGCTAGAGGCATGGGTACTTTTTCCCTCCCCGGAGACCCTTTGGCCACCAGACGTCACGCATCGCGCGTCGCGCCCCGCGGTGCGCGGCGAACTTCGCGCCCCCGCGCCGCCCCCCCCCCCCCCGCGGCCCAGACCGCGACGCGCGAAGCGCGGCCGCACCCCGAGCCCCACGGTCGGCGACGCGGCGAGGTCCCTCGGGGGGGGGGTCGAGGCCTGGGGCTGCAGGGGGTGCGGGCACCCGCCCGCCGCCGCAGGCGGGAAGACGAGGGGGGGCAGAGGGGGGGGGGGCGCGGGAGGGGGGGGGTGGGAGGGCAGAGCTTCTCGCCCTCCCTCCCCCCCCTCCACCAGAATTCTGCCATCCTCCCCGTGCCCCTCCACCCTGCCCTCGCCCTCCGCGTCCTCCTCGCTCGTTCTCCCCCGCTCCTCCTCGTCCTCCGTCCCCCGTCCTCCCTGGTCATCGCCTCCTCGCTCCTTGTACTTGTACTTGTATGTACCCCTACAGTGCCACCTGGCCCGCCCATGGGGGTCACATCCGGGGGGGGATGTTCTGCCTGCTTCAAAGCACCCTGCTTCAGGTCACAGAGCGCCTGGCAGGAACGGGACGCGGCGTGCATCGAGCGCGAGAGGGCGATGTCGCGCTCCCACGCCAGCGCCGCGCTCACTTCTCCTGAGGATGAAGCTCCTGCTCGGGCGAGGGGCACACGCTTCGCACGCCACTGCTTCGACGCGCGAGCGGGCGAACATGTCGTTCTGGTCTCGGCGCCGCGCAGTCTTCGCCCGACAGTGGCCCTCCCGCCACGGCACGGCCCCCCTCGCCAAACGTCGGGGGGGCCCGCGCGGGCGGGCGCCTTGTCGCCGTCGCCCAGGCTCCGTACACATGTCGCTTCGAGAAACCATGTCACGTGAGCGACAATCAAAACCGGGTCTCACGCGAGATGACTAGCGACCTTACGCCGCGGCTTACGCGGGCCGCCCGCGCGGTGCGCCACATTGGAGACGAGGGCGCTCACTCGCGACCTTACGCGGGCAGCTTTCGCGCCAATGTCGGCGCAGACGACCCCGTTTGTTTGTGTCGCTCGTTTCGCTTCGAAGTGGCGTTCCCACGCGGGCGCGGCGCATAGGTTGCTGGCCGAATCGCATGAAAGCGGCAGCGGGGCCGCGTCAGAGCGGACGAAATTCTGTCTCTGCTCATCGCCGCGCATCTTGCGCATGGAGTGCTGTTTCGGCGAGGCGCACGAACTATCTGCGCCGCGCTCATCGGACACTTCGCCGCAGAAGTTCGTTCCGGCCGCAGCGCCGCTCATGCAACCACTGGAATTCCACTTCCGCCTCGGAGCGGCTCCGTGAAAGCTGCACCTTCGCCAAGTCGTCGGGAGCGGGGTTGCGCGTGAGCGTTTTTTCGCCAGCTGGGTGGGAGCGCGCTGCAATCCCGTATCAAGTTGTGGCACACTCGGGGATGGACAGACCCCCCTTTAGTAAAACGTGGTTTAGTGAAAACGACCTGAGGCCCACGGCGCCCTCTCGAGAACCGAAAACGGACAATTCACTAATCGACGTGTCACTGTTGGGGGTTCTGTCCACCCCCGGCACACTTGGCTCTTGTGCGTGAAGGGAGGGTGGGCATGGGCGGGGCCCGCTGACTCGTCCGACCAGGTTAACCAGATCATCCCTTCTACTCCTCCACGCCATGCCCACCATCATTCACAAGCACCATCGACAGCATCAACATACACAACCGCTCCCACGCTCTGTCCTCTCCTCCCTCGTTCTCTGGCTCTCTCGCTCTCTCTCTCTCTCTCGCTCACCCTCTATCGCTCTGTCCCTTTATCAGTATCGTTCTCCCTCACTTTCTCTCTCTATCTCGCTCTCTATCTCTCGCTGTATCAGGGTGACCTACATGGCAAGTAGGGTCCCCTTGGGAGCCAGCAGAAGCCCAAAAGGAGCTCGAAAGGGTTCCTTCAGGGTCCCTTCCTTCACGCCCCCCGTTTGGTCACCCCACCATTTCTTCCACCCACCCAAACCAGGTGGGCCCGGGTGGGGCAGTGAGGGGAGGGTGGAGTGGGGATTTGGGGGGGGGGGGACGGGCGTGGCTAAGAAGGCCTTCTCGTTGGTCTCGCACCAGCACTTGTGCTTGGCGAAAGTGTCGGCATCCTCCTTGGCATCCGCCTCAACCTGATCCTTCATTTCCTGCGGCGGAGGAGGGGAAGCATGCTAATCATAATGAAGAGGGAGGAGGAACGAGAAAGATAATCCGCCGACCCCGTCTGGATCTCTAGGAGAGTGAGATTATCCCCCACCGTAATCCTCCCCCCCCCATGGACCCCAAACCGGCAGTTTGACCCCCCCCCTGGCCGAGCCCGACCCCGGAGCGAACGCGCCACGGGGGAGCGGAGGGCTCCCAAACTGGCCAAGAAGGCATCAAAACGCTCTCCAGACGGCCCCGGGGGGCCACGATTCGCCAAAATATCGTCCCTGGACGCCCGCGATGGCCTCCAGGGAGCCTCCGAAGCTGCCAAGACGCCCCAAAAGGTCCCCAGAATGCGCCCCAAGAGGGTCCCAAGAACCAAAAATCGTCCCATTCCCTTAGAAAGCCTAGCATGTTTCGCATGCTCGCCCATTCGGTTTTCACAACGTCCCAGACGGGCAAAGAAACATTAAATATCGCCCCCAGACGGCCAAAGGGGCTCCCAAGATGGGTCGAAGAGGGTCCAACAACAGCCCACGAGGCCCCCAAGACAGCCCAAGAGGGGCCCCAGACGGCTCCAAGACGGAGTCCAGAGGGCACCGTTTCGAGCCTTCGACTCCAAGACGCCCCCAGCATGCCCCAAGAACACCCCAAGAGGCCCTGATGGACCCCCAAGAGAACCTCAAAGGCCTCCAAGAAGCCCCCCGGAGGCCCCAAGAGGCCCCCAAACTTGGCCCAAGATGCCTCGAGGCGGCCGGAGATGGCCTGGAGACAGGCCAAGATGCCACCAGAAGGCCACAAAAGAGCACCAAGAGGTACGATATCAGCAACGAAGCAACAAGAACGATGTCGAGCGCCGTGTCATGATTCTGACAAGCCTTGTGAAATGCAGTCTTGGAGGCGCAATAGTTTATACAGGAGTCGGCGGATGTGGCGTAAGCCTATATATTCATGGTGAAGAGGGAGGGGGAACGAGAGAGAAGCAGGGAATGGGAAAAGGGCTCTCGCCTCCATGTACGGATGCCATCTACAGCAAGGATGCTCATATTCTTGCTCCTCATGCGACTCCCAAAATCTTCTCCTCGACTCTGCCCGTGCCTTCCCTTCGTCGTCGTCGTCGCCGTCGCCGTCGTCGTCGTCGTCGTCGTCGTCGTCGTCGTCGTGCTCATCCTCCTGACCTTTGGTGACTGCGAGCCTCCTGATCCTGCTCATGCTTCTGCTCCTCCCACTCCCCCCGCAATTATCGGCCCAACTGCGATGACTTCTGTGGGTGACCATGCTCCTCGTGCTCCGCTTCAGATCATCCTCTTGTTCCTCCCGATTATCACCACCCTCCTCAGCCATCCGATTCGCCGACCCCCTGGTGTCCACTCGGCGTGTGAGACTGCTGCGCCTCCTCAAACCCCTCCCACTGGGAGCCTGGTCCAGCGGTTAGGAGGGGGGGGTCCTAGGAAAAGGACCAGCGGCACCAGACGGAAGGACGGACGGACGCCACTTGAGCTAAGTCGGGCGTGTCCCCCTACAGGGGGATGTTCGACGATTTTCTTTAATGCCCCAAAATGGGCAAAAATATATCCCAAAAATAGTCCCCACACTATTTTTTGACTATGTTTGAATTTCCCTCCTGTGGAGGGACAGGCCCGACTGAACGCTTGAGCAGAGCTGCCCCATCGAAGGAGATGAACGGGCAGCGGCGCACAGAGCGCTCACAACGGCAAGCGCACAAGACCATCTTCGAGAGCACAGTCAGCCCGTAGAGTAAGGATCTGGAAGCCCCTTGCGAAGCTTTTCGAGCGGGCCGCGACCAGCGAAAGCGGCCAAGGATGGGCCGAGAAGGCAAGGATGCAAGGTTACCCTTGGAAAGGTTGCCCATCCTTCGTATGCGGGTTGACTGTACGCCATTTCCTCTGGTAAGGAAGTGGTGCCCATTCTGTCTTGGCATCCAGCGGCCCCCGTCCCCAAACACAAATTATACGGGACGGCCTCCGAAGGCCGCGCAAAGTGGCCCCGGCAGGGCCGAAGAGACTGCCCCAACAAGTGGCCTCCCGCCGGGCCCCCGATGGCTCTGGTGGGAGGCGCGTCTCATGGACCTCCGGGTGGCCTGAGGCCCCCGGTGGCGGCTGCGCTGCGCGTTTGGGAACATGTGTTGCCCGAAGAGGGCCCCGAGGCAGCTCAAAGACGGCCTCCAAGACGCCCTCCAGGGGGCTCAAAGAGGAGCCCACAGAGGGCCCAGACCAACAGAAGCCTCTTGGACCTCATCCTCACCATGCCTCGCCGCATGCCCATCCTCGAGCTCTTACCGCTGCTGCTGCCGCATTCCAGGTGAGAGGGACTTCCCCCTCCTCCTCCTCCTCCTTCTCCTCCTCCTCCTCCTCCTCCTCCTGCTCCTCCTCCTCTTCCTCCCCCCGCATCCTCCATACCCCACGGGGGAGAATGGCGAGGGGGGTTCATGTCAGGAGGGGCGCCCCTGCCTCTTGCGCTCTCTTTTCCAGGATGAGGAGCATGATCGGGAGTGATAAGGTGGTGAGGCCTCTTCGTACGCCCACACGGTCTCATCATTGTGTGTGGATTAGACTTTTTCTGCGTCCATCTCCTCCTGGACTTCTTCGCCGCCCTCCCTCTATTGTTACCTCTCTTAGCCTTAGCCTTCCCTTCCTTCTTTTCTGTGTGGGAGAGAGGAGACAGGCAGAGGGGGGGGCTTCCTCCTCATCTAACCCTTCCTCCTCCTCCTCCTCTTCCTCCTCCCACTCCTCCCCTTCCTCCTCCTCCTCCTCCTCCTCCTCCTCCGCCTCCTCCTCCGCATCCTTCTCCTCCTTCTCCTCCTCCTTCTCCTCCTCCTCCTCCTCCTCCTCCTCCTCCTCCTCCCCATCCCCCGCACCCCCCTGTTCCCGACCATCATTTCGATGCGCTCCCACGCTGGAGGAAAAGAGGCGACAAGGCGTGCTCCTCGGCCCTCGCCTGCTGCTCGCAGGCATCTCGGGCTTCCGTTCGTTCGCGAGGACGTGGGAGATGTCGATCGGGATATCGGGCGAGACGGACAGCAGATGCAGCGACGGAGCGCGAGCGCGCGCGACCGCGTCGGCAATTGGGCGACTGCGATCACGCGCGCTTCAGAAATCACGCGTGGTATGCCGCATCTGGGGGTATCGAGCTCCCCGGCACCTCCATGCCCGCTTCCGGACGTACCCAAAATGGTAAAACATGTCCTCCAGCATGCTTACGAGACGCTAAAAAAACACAAGACTGTCCCAAGAGCCCCAGGAGGAGAACTGACCCGAGCACCCAAACAAGCGGAAGCGTTCCAAAACCTTCAGGGAATCAGCGAACGTTGCCTCCTCGCTCTTTCACGTCCCATGGGCCTCTGACGCTTGAATCTAGCCCTTCGATGGCCCTTTCGAGCCCCAGGAGCTCACGGGAGCCCCTGGACGGCCCAAAGAGTGCCCGAAAACGCGCCGCAAACGTCCCAAGAGCACGCCCGAACCTCCCCCAGATGATCACAAGACCCCCCCAAAAAAACGAGGACGCCCGAAACCAACATGGCTCCAGAAAAGAAACAGATCGGTCACAGATCGGTCATTTCTCCATCCTGCCTCATATGCTCCTGCTCCACTTGCTTCCTGCTGTTGGTTCCTCCTCCTCCTCCTGTTCCTCCTCCTCCTCCTCCTCCTCCTCCTCCGCATGATCCTCCATGCCTCGTTCCCCTCAAGTCAACCATCCTTCTGCCACCGAAGAAAATCCGAGCATGGACTCGAATCATCTCTTTTGCGGGCGATTGCCCATGCGGCAATCCGTCGGATGACCGATGTGGTGGACTGAAACGCCGGCGTCGCAATGACCCCGGTCATCCCAGCGCACAATATCCATGAATCGTCCTGGTGGGTCCCAGATCATTTCCGTGACGTGGCAATTGCACGCGCAAGCTCGCAAACTCGCCTTACATGCAACATGTGTTTAATCGCGTCAGCGTCATCCTCTTCTTCATCCTCCCCCGTGTTTTTCTTATCCTCCTCGCCATCGTATTCATCCTCCTCCTCCTCCTCAACCTCCTCCTCCTCCTGCTGATCCTCCTCCTCCTCCTCCTCCTCCTCGCCTCCCGGTCTTCCGCATCCCTCCCTCCCCAAAAACATGTCACCACTCGGCCCTCCCTGAAACTCGTGGGCATGATGGCGTCCGTCCTCTTTTGGGGACCGGCGGAATGGCGTAAGCCTCTTGCATCTTCATCCTCCGCAACCTCCGCATCATCCATATCCTCCTCCCCCTCATGGGCTGCCTCCTCGGGACTCAGGACTGCGGACTTTTGCCCCCCCCCCCCCGGCGCGCACCGCCCAAGGGGGCAGGAGAGGGGCCATCCTGTGAAGGACCCGCATGCGGCCGCCAGGCAGGGCGAGGAAATCAGCACGTGCTGAAACCAGGCCAATGCTGAAACCAGCAGCGGTGCACGCGCCGCGCCCCCGTGGCTCGGCCCAAGAAGGCGCCCACGCAGCTTGTGGGCGCAGGGCGGGCCTGACCAAGGAGCAATGGATATGCATAGACTTCGTCGCCCGATATGGAGGGGGGCACCATGGGGAAGGAAAGCGCCGATCCCCTTTCGGCGCTCCTCCAACATCTGCACCACTTTCGTCACGGGGTTAACTCCCTCCTGCGGGCAGGGCAAACGGGGGCGGACCCCAGCCGCCGTGCTCAATCATCCTCCTGCTCGAGCTCCCCCCAATCGACCTCGTCGAAAACGTCGACGTCCGCCTCCTCCTCCTCCTCCTCCTCCTCCTTCTCATCCTCCCCCTCCTCCTCCTCCTCCTCCTCCTCTTCCTCCTCCTCCTCCTGAGAAATGAAAGCAGCAGGGTGCCTTTGCCCTAGCTGCTGATTAAAACAACGCATGGCGGTGTTCGAACCTTGGGAACCCCCTGGGCCGCAGGAGGCCCGGGCGCGAGCCGGGGAATAAGGGCGGGTGGACCGCAGGACTGGACCGGAGCTAAATAGATCGGCTGCCAGCACCCAGGGAACC